CTGGAGCCAAAAATGCTGGAGATGCAGGCAGCCAGTGAGAGTTTCTCCACCTTTCCGGGGCTGGTGGGGTTTGGGCTTCAGCCTTGGGGTGGCAGGCTCGTTGTGGGGCTTGGACTCCGGCCATGGGACTTAAGGAGCCGATCCAAGGCTTAATCTTCGCCCCCCTCCCCACCCCCCAATGGCCCCTCACTGCCTCCTCCAACAGTGGAGCCCTGGCTGATTGGCAGCAGGTGCCAGCCCCGGCCATCCCATCACCCCTGCTGCCTCCCATCCATACCCTCATGCCCCTGCTCTCTCCTTACCCACCTCCCCATATAGGGCTTAAATTTGTCCTCCAGCTTGCCAGGGCTAAGTAAATGTGTGTTTCTCATGTTGCTTCTGATGCATCCTGCAGTGTGCTGTATCAAATGCGGCTGTTGTGTGATGGTCACATTCTACCCAAGGTAGATGAAAGCGTAGGATTACCAGCTCTAGGTCCTCAGTTCAGGACTCACTTTCCTAGCCAAATGAAGAACGAGAACATTCCTGTATTATTGTGGTAGCCTACCTGTCCAGGCGCACCAAGGAGTCCAATGTGAGCACAAGGCTTCACAAACTTGATCTGCAGTTTGGTATCCTCAGGCATTAGGGCTTTACAAGTTTCCTCAATACCTACTCATCTGAGGACTAACTAGCCATAGCTATTCGTCATGTGCTCTTCAGGGGTTTCATGCATATTACCACCACTTCTATGGCCTATATTCAATGTTCCCAACTGTAGTCTCACCTCCATAAGCCCATAGCTGTCTCTGGAAGAGTTCATCTGCAAGGCTTCCAAGTTTCAAAGCTTTTTTGGGAGATGGGAGGCAGCAAAGACCGTCGCTTACTATGCATGTGTTCAGTATCTAGCATAGTAGGGTCCTGATTTCAGTTGGGTCCCCTGGACCAGTGTTTCTCAACCTTTTTGATTCCAGGGAGCAGTTTGCTGCCTTCCTAAACTGTGTCAAGGAGATCTCAGGGATCAGCGCTGGTCCATAAACCGGTCTTTGAGAAACACCGTCCTGGACAATGCCATAACATCTGAATCAACCTATAGTGTCGTCCTTAAGGCCACAGATGGAGCTTCTGAGAAAGCGCTCTTCTGTTTCTCATTCCTCTTTGAAGTCTGCCTTTTGGCTACACCCCTTCTGCCTCAGCAGGTGGTATAACTTTATTTTCTGACACATTACAAATCCCACAGAAATGTTAATCAGCAAGTTGTAATTTGAGCTCTTGCAAGTCAGTGAGAACTTCCCTTTCTATAGTCCTTGCTTGGAGGCAGCAATGTAACAACTTTAACAAAACAGTATAACAGAGTGTGATATAGAGAAAGGGATGCTATTCGCATCTGCTTTGCATGCAAACAGTGAGGTCAACAGGGGGTGGAGTTCAAGTTCCTCTCACTCAAGTTCCCCCCTCCCCCACTAATCAGAACCAATATTTTTAATTTAAAAAAAATGAAAACTGGGTTTATGGCAAAAATAAGGGAAACAAAATTGGATCTCCATGGACCATCAATTTCACAAGCTGCAAAGTGAACAAACATGAAAAAGTTTTGCAGATAACCTTTACATTGGATAAACTTAGTGAGTAAGGCCCGGTCTACACTACAGGGTTAAGTCGACATAAACTGCATTGCATTGACCTAGCTCTGGAAGGGTCTTCACTTAAATTTGGCTCCTGCTGATGTAAGTGCCTCTCTACGCTAATTTAGTAACACCACCTCCCAAAGCAGCATAGAGTCATGGTCGACATAATTAGGTCAACGCAGTGTCAGCGCAGAAATGCATTGCTTACATCGACTGTTACTGGCTTTCAGGAGCCACCCCACAATGACAGTACAATCAATACAAGCACTAACGGAGAGAATGTGCACGGCTGATACAAGGAGCCAAGTGTGCGCACACACAAGCGATTTAATAACTGCAGTGGCTGTATGCTGACATTAAGTTAGGTTGACCTAATTTTGTAGTGTAGACATGGCTTAAGTCATGAAAAAATGGGGAGGGTGTAGAAGATGAGAGAAAAGCAAATACGATCATGGTCTTCAGAAAAACAAATGAGATCCTGATAATTACCATTCCAAAAGTCTGGTTAACCTCTTGTAAAACACAACAAATCAGAGAAAACAGTTTTTCACACCTAGATGATTTCACATCCTCCTCGAAAGAAACCATAGCTCTTCTCCAGAGGAGGCCATCTGATGCAATATCCCTCAGCAACAGGGATTTTTCTGCTAGAACTTCCAGCATTGGAAAGTCCAATGGACAGGAGTTTTAAAATGGGAAGAGGCTCCCCCCAGTAACCTAGATCTCCTTAGAAGAAAATCATGGGAACTTCTGCGAGCACCAGCAGTGGAAGACTTGTTCAGAAGCTGACAGTGGGCTCACTCGCTGGAATCCAAGGAGCCACAATAGCTGCCAGCAGAGACCCCTTAACTTCTCATTAATTTCTCCTTGCTCTCAGCAGAGGGGGTTCTGGGCCTATGCTGATGATATGGCCACACTGAATGATATGGTAGACTCCACATAGGACATGAAGCAACTGCACAGGCAGCTTCACTGCTGCATGTTCTTTCAAATTCGGAGTGATTGGGGAGAAGAGCCACAAACCACATACACTGTGCCACTGCCTCCTTAGATCTGAAGGGTCAAGAACATTAGGGAACTGTGAATGGCTTCTTCCTGAATTGACCTGAACGGAGCAGGATTGGGGACATAAAATTCAGTATTAAATCATTAGGAGGGGTGGTAGTGGGGTGTTTTACTTGTATGGGAGCCCCAAACTCAGAAGCCACTGAAAGCCAAGAGTACAGAGAACTCGACAGAGCTGCACTAGAAGGATAGTGCAGCTCTCAGACACACTTATGAGTACTGCCTATAACTATATCCTGCCAAGAGACCCCAGTCTGGTCTGCCCTGACGTGCACAGACATACACGTAGCGTATCCAGGCCCAAATAGCTCCTCTGCCTGATTCACAATCAACATGGAGTCAGAGAAAAGCCAAGCTGTAGAAATCTGTGAGATGGGTTACAAAGAGAAGAAAAAGACAAAATTCTAGCTCCAGCAACAAAGGAGCTGACCTACCTTAATAACTATGGCAACTGCTGGCTCACCTTTGCTGATCAATTCTATTGCCCTTCCCATATACTTGCCTATGCCAAATAAGGTAACTCTGACTAGCTCCAAGGGAGTGGGAAAAGAGACAGGAATCCATCACTCCTGTTGGGCAATCTTTTATTCGTATGCATTTCTATGGAACCATTCCACATTGTTACCTGATGTCTAAGTTTTGGAGCATGTTTTTTAATCTCTCAGCTTCACTCACTCAGTCCCCGAAAACTATTTAAAGTGTTTGAAACTAGTCATGAAAATGAGAGATACCAAGGCTGCTTGATGATAAAAACTTGGTTATGTGACCGCATCCCAACTGCTAACAAGTTAATAACAAATGGTAAGGGGGTTTAAAAACCTAAGTACTTCAGAGATCATTCACCCTGCCTTAAGCTGCCGAACTGGAATAGTAATATCTGACATTTATACAACACTTTTCAAACAGTAATTATTTGCAACACCACCTCTGGAAAACAGCTTAGGAACACCCTTATTTCATAGAAAGAGAAATTGAGACACTGGTGAAATGACTTGCTCAAAGTCACATAAACAGGTCATCAGAGCTGGGAACAGGACTCAGGTCTCATGACTTCCAGTCCTGTGTTCAAAGCACTAGACCATGTTGCCTCTGTTTAGCAGTGGAATCAGTGTTTCATTTACCACATTTGAAATTCCTATGCTACATTTTCACAAGACAACCAGAAAGGGAGGGAGACTCCAAACAGATTACACTGCAGAAATCATTGTTAGCTACAAAACATAGCTCTTTCTCACCCATCCATGTCCTGCAACCTCAACGAAATGTGAATGGAATTTAAAGGCTACATCAAAGCAAATACTCATGGAAATTACACCATCCTTTCAATCCTCCCTATAAAGCAGTCACACAAAATTCTACCTGGCCCAGGCAGGCAACATTTTAAGATAAAACATTATTTCCAACGCAGGTCAATCCAGGACTTTGCTGAGTGACTTCCAGGTACCAATTTGATAACACTGGTTATATCTTTATTATTATTATCGTGAAAGGAACTAAGGAGACTGTATGTTAGAACTAATTCGTTTTTATATCAATTTGGCAAGATAACTTCACAGGAAAGACCTCCGCACAAAACGATAATCTGCATTTCTCAACAGCAGAATGGAAGGAACCAGCTCTTCCACCCAGTATTTCTGTAGTAAAGCAGATAAGGTGAGACAAGGAATAGGAGAGCTGCTTTTGTCGCGCAGGTGGGGTACTTTCGAAGAGCAAGGTGCTGTGAGCTTCCTGTAGAGAAGTATCAGTGTTTACCCAACAGACCATTAACGGGCATTACTTCAACACTGAGCACCTACTGCAACTCAATAGCTGAGTTTTCTCTAGCCCGTTCCACACACGAGGTATCCATAAGACAAGTGCCCGGTCCAACAGCACGCCCCGGGGGCCGGGCGCAAAGAGCTGGAAGACGGGAAGGGGGCTGCCCGGAGGGACCCAAGCGGGGACTTGCCCGGGAAGTGGCGGGTCACGGCGAGGGGCGGACAAGGCGCGTGGGACGGTTGGAAAGCGGTTAACGTCTCGGCGTTTGTGCAGCTTCGCTGGGGAGCGGCGGCCCAGGAGCAGGGCTGGCCCCCGGCCGGGCGCGGGAGGATCACGCCGCCAGTCCCGGCAGCCCGCGCAGACTCCGGGCCCAGGGAAGGACCCAGCGGCTCCCCCTACTGATCCCGCGGCGCCTGGGGCTCCCCGGCCGGCCAGGGCAGAGGCAGGGCGAGCCGCCGCCAGCCGGGGATGCCGGGCGGGAGCTCGGCGGCGACACTGAGCGGGACACGGGGAGGCTGGGCCGGGCCCCACCAGGCTCAGAGCCGGGCTGGAGCTCGGGGCCGCACTCACCCCTTCATGGTGCGGCCTGGCGGGCCCGGGATCCGCGCTCAGTGCGTGCGGGGCCCGACGATGCGGCTCCGGCCTCCTCCTCGGCGCTGGCGGTTCGCCCTGCAGCTCCCCCTCCACATGGGCCTCGGGCCGCCCGTCCGCCGCGCTCCACCCCGCCGACGTGACCCCTCGCCTCGCGGCGGCGTGACTGGGCCGGCGCTATGCGGCGCCGCCCACGTGACCTCTCCCGTGGCCACTTCGCGGGAAGGGCCTGGTCCTGTCACGTGGGCCTGGGAGGCCAATCGCCTGCCTCCTCATCCGCCACCTGTCATTTAAAAAAACCCATCATTAAACTAGGAGGTCTCCCGATTCGCTCACTTCCGGGGGCAGGGCCTACGCTCGTGACTCGGTGTATGCGCCCCATGAGCGAATGAGCAGCTGATCACCGCTGCCTGCCATTGAAGCGAAGCGGAAAGAAGTGGTTCGGCTCCCCCGCCCGGCACAGGTGAGACCCCCCCCTTTTCTCTTTCTCTCTCTCTC